TATTGTTAAATTTGACTCATTGAATCCAGCGTCCTTTGTTTTATCTCTTTGTTCGGCAGGTAAATATTTTAGTCCAATGTACTGGTCCCCTAAAAAGTATTAATCAGATTTCATTCGCAACAGTAGTATATATTTTGTTGTACTTTATTTAGGTTGTGTCCAAAAATATCGATCGTGAATGCATCTTGCAATTAAATAATCTAATTTATTTATAAAGAAGCAACCTCTATCTTCTGCTTAGAGGAAAGTGAATCAGTAGAGAACAAGCCTTTGCGAATGATTGAAGCTGAATTTCATGACAAGCACTCATACGAAAGGTCCAGTTCTGAAATAGATAAAGAGGTTCTGAAGGCAACCGATAGGGAGATACGATTGCGGAACGGACATTATGAAGTTCCATTGACTTGGAAAGAGGACTGGCGTAGATTACCGCCTAATAGGTTTGAGGCAGAACGCAGGCTGGACAGTCTTCAGAAGAAACTCAAAAAGGACGAAAGCCTATTAAAGTCCTACAATCAAATACCAACAGACCATGAGTGGAAGGGTTACATTAGTCGCGTTCCTGACGACTTCTCCAAGAAACGTAGATTTATCCCTCACCACCCAGTTATAAATCCCCGCAAGCCTGGTAAAATAAGAGTGATTTTCGATAGTGCCTTTAGTTTCTTATGGTATTCTGAGGGTAGACCGGACTTACCACCGAGCCTATATCAATTAAACGTACATCCCTTCGGTGCTGCATCATCACCTTTTTGTGCAGCCTATGCTTTAAAACGAGCCACAATTGACGTTAGTTTATGTGGACGTTGTTCACGACGATGGAAACAAGGGCAACTCCTTGCCGATACGTTTTGGAGACGGTGGAAGCGGGAGTACTTGACGACTATACAATCGCGTGCAAAGTGGGTTCAACGACATCGGAACTTACAAGTGGGAGACCTAGTACTAGTGACTGCGGAGCCTTCACCTCGCAATCTTTGTTCAATGGGAATAATTACAGGTATTACGGCAAGCTGTGATGGGTATATCAGAAAAGTGGATATCAAGACACCGAGGGGTATAGTCAACCGAGATGTGCGTAAGGTTTGCCTATTAGAAAATATTGAGGAGAGATAAGCACTTTGTAGGATATATAGCTGGATAGTGGATGCAGATGTGGCGAGAGTAAATTGTACCATTTCTGTGTCTTACTAGCAGGTAGAGTAGGTAAAACCAGGCTGGTTTTGAGGGGGCGGTGTTAATTCCTTTCCTACTTGTTCATTCTCAATCTTTCCTTTGTTCAACATTATACTACTTGCCATTAGTAAGTATGGTAGTATGGTTTTTATATGTTAATTTATAACAATGACATTTGCTTACAACTGCAGTTAAATTACTTCTTCTATTATCATTCTATCAATGTATAGTTCTTATTTTTCTTCTCCTTAAACATTATTTGCTGACCTTACCCTATAGTGTATGCTTTCCTATTGAAAGTTGTTTGTTCATATTTGTTTATTCTTTGCTTGGCATTCGCGGGCCGTTTGAACCGACACGTGGATCAACCTTGACACAGCATTGCTGTTTTTACTTATTGACTGCACAGTGGTTGTGCATTTGACGCCATTTAGCCACAGATACCTCACATCTTGAGGTTTGTATATTATATATCTATTTTTATGTAATAAAGTACCGTATTGCAGAATATCCTGTATTTCGCACTTTACGCGTCACTCTACGTGTGGTTAAATCTATAATTTGGATTATCGTTTCAGATTTCTTTCGGGAGAAATTCACAACATGTATATATTTTTTTTGGACTGCTGCTGGTGTAATTCAGTGTCAATTATAAAGTGCTTTTCCTCAAGTCGTGTTCTGCTTCTTCGCTCTACCCTGCGTGCTTGATCTGTATAATTGTTTGTGTTGTTCTATTACAGCTGTATGGCTGAAGAGAAAGTAAAAGTTGGGTGTCGTGTTAAAATAACATCGAGATCAGTTTTTGGGACCGTTGCTTTTGTCGGAGTAACACAATTCTCACCAGGTAAAAATTTTTGTTCTCATCGCGGACTTAGGAAAATGGGTGGGTATAATACTAGACGAGCCCAAAGGGAAGAACAACGGCACGGTTCAGGGGGAACGCTACTTTATATGTGAGGAAAATTTTGGGATATTTGTGCGCCCATCTCAGGTATGTTTTATTTTAAACGGTTTTATGCATTGCTTGCATCTCTCTATGTGTCAGCTAATGCATATTATAAGAAGTCTTTACTATCAGGGGCTCCATAATATCTTTCTCATCAATTTCGCATTACCCTATTTAGCTTTTTCAGTCCTTGCACTCCGTATTTATATCAGATTATAAAAAGGTATTCCCAGCCCCATGAAACTGGATTCCCAACTGAATATTTAGTCTGCTGGTATTCTTACTCTGCAGGCACACTTATTGGAACCTAGGCGAAGTTAAACTATCATAACCAAAATTACAGTGACTTTGGGCAACCAATCAGAATTCAGATGAAAACAGGTCGCATAATCTGTGGAAAATGCATTAATGCACATTGTGAATACGATATTACACTGAATAATTGTCGCTTATGTGTTGTAAGGATGTCTCCCAGTCGCTAACCGGACAACCTAAAGAGAAGTCTTACCATGCGTGATAGATGTTTTCATCCAGGTGACTGTTGATCGTGATACTTTGAAATCCACTGATGTTTCTGACACTTCTTTAACCTACACCTAACTGTAACCGTAATCTTAAAAGCCATAACCGTAGCATACCTGCAGTACAGATTCACAGAAAAAGTACATGGGGAATAAGTAGAATACTGTATCTACTCTCGCCAAATTCTAAACGGTAAGCATGATTTGATTTCGAATGACATTTCCGTAAATCTGATTGATTCTTGGATGTCCACTTTTGACAGACCTTGACTTTGGCTGTGATACGTTAACTTCGCCGGGAACTGAATCCAACTGTAGTCTCCAGCCTATAGAGCTTATGACACTAGAGCATCCAAAGGGCTTAATCAACATGATGTCGGGACTTACTGTCATTTCTGTCGAGTAGTTGTTTCGCAACATTTCCTTAGAAGGCGATAACTCTTATGCTTGCTCAGCCTTTGCTTCAATATGCACCAGGCAGTCGATTTTCTTCCTTACTTCCGATTGTTAGTCTCAACCATACCTTAATATCTTAAAGAACAGACAGAGTGCGCCCCCTGAAGAATATACTGCTAAAACATTGTCTATCCAATGGTTTGTGAGACTTTAGGAATGTGTGCGATATATTCCTTGTTTTCTAAGAAACTGGACTTGGTGCTCATTGGCTTTAGATCTTGCCTTCAAGCCAGTGGACACCGGGCTCTAATCCCATTTCACTTACTGCAACCTGAGCAACTGATTAGTATCAGAAGCCTCTACATAGTGCGTAATTCGTAGGTGGGTACATTAAATATGTTTTCCGGGTAGTTGGGTTCTTCTAAATATAATTTCTCACTCCCGCAAATGTTTGAACCGACACTTATTTCAACTTTAGAAAGTCACTTTGTTATCAATTGGTGAAGTGTGAAGGCCGTCTCATTTTCGTTATCCACTTCTTTAGTGAAATATCTGTATACCTATTAGGCGTCAAGAATATGTCAGTATGCGCCGTTATATTATCGCAGTGTTTAGTCATCAGTGTTGAGTCTGCAAAGATTACATTCATTTATTCTACACACCACCTCTCTTTTTTGATAGAAAATTAACTGTCAATCGTCTAAATTGGTTTTATCATTTGTTACGCCTACTTACCACCTATCATGGCTTGTTGAGTCAAGGGTGGCCGTATCCGTACCCAGCCAATGAATGAATTCATGACTGTTAGTCCAATTAGTTTGGAAAAGTGCAACTTGCTTGCTGTGGTCGAAATGACTACCAAAACTCGTGACTAAAGATTGTGGGTGATTGGGATCAAAATAAATTATACAGACGCAAACGTATTCTCATCTTTTTATTTTAAATGTGTTGTCACATACTTTGTTTCTGTCCTTTTATTTCACAATATTTTACCACTTCTGATTACATTGTTAACATCACTTCTCTATTCGCATTCTTATTACCTTACATTTATATATATATATATATATGTATATGTATACATGAACCATCATACAATCATGCAACTCCTTGTATTAATAATGGTAGGATAATAGTAATATGACTCCATTCAAATACTGTATAGTCCAATATCCAGGACATATTTTAATTCTCTTGTCCCGCATTGTGCCATTTTTCTGTTTTATTATGTTAAGGACTATTTACAGTGTTTGTCTTTGAGTGATATTATAAAATGTGTCAGGTGGTTCTGCGATGATTAGTTGAGAATGTGAACCGTAATAAGTTTTCTCCATTTTGTGTAAGTCAATTCTTGTTTTTCCCGTTGATTAATTGAACGGAAATGTTTGGCTTCTGTCGACATGCGGCTCTGAATGTGGACTATCCGATGATGTCTGAGGATCAACAGTGATGTTATTTGCTGCCGAAGTGGCTTAGTCGTTAACACTGGCGTTTGAAACGACGTGGACTGGGTTTGATTCTCAGCAGAAATACCATCACACACACTGGAGATTGCAGTTACCTCTAGATGACGAGTCCTAAACGAGAGGGAACGTACTTCCGGGATTCCACTGATAGTCCCTATACACCAAATAACATGACAGATATGAGTCTGGAGTTTGTAACAAAGTAAATTAACTAATATTTATTGTTAAATTTGACTCATTGAATCCAGCGTCCTTTGTTTTATCTCTTTGTTCGGCAGGTAAATATTTTAGTCCAATGTACTGGTCCCCTAAAAAGTATTAATTAGATTTCATTCGCAACAGTAGTATATATTTTGTTGTACTTTATTCAGGTTGTGTCCAAAAATATCGATCGTGAATGCATCTTGCAATTAAAGAATCTAATTTATTTATTCCTCCTTTGTTATCCAGCTTACTCTTCTAGATGATCCGGAAAGATCAGACGTGATGAAGTTATCCTCATCTAGCGTTGTTTCCGAATCAGGTGCCACTTCAGAATCAAAGGAAGTTACAAAACTTGCTGGTTCGACATCTTCGTTGTCTGTAGGATTGAAAACTCCTGAGACAGTTAAAGGTATTGAATGTTTTATTTTCTGCCTGTTCGTCATTTATCTACTTCGTTTTGAATCTTATCACTAATATGTATAAAAGTAATGTAATGTAGCATTTTAACCCCAAGGGAGCACATAGTGTTATTTACATCAATAACATTATTTGTCAGCTGAAGTGATTTGTATGCTTACTTCATTTGTATTGCCTGATAAAGGAGTTAGAAGTTTTGCTACACTCAATTCATTACCCATTTATAGATGGTGATACTAAACAGAAAACTGTCTGTTGTATGGAAATTAATGTCATAGCTGAGATGCTCATGCCTTAATTAGTGTAGCGGTGTTTCAATTCGTTATCCACTGACTGGAATTTAACTCAGTTCTCCATGAATTTATCATTCATTGGATTCCAGTTTCGTTACACATGTTGATGAAATCTGATTGATCAGCTTTTTTCAGTAGGTTTGAAAGTTATACGTCGCTGTGCTCTTCAAACCGTTTTTAATAATATAAATCAACTAATAAAAAGTTAAATGACCAATACTTCGTGTTTCTTGATACTTATCATCAATGCTTCCTCATATTAGACTTTTTTTTATTATAGCTTGATTCTATACTGTATTTTTGGTAGAAGTATGGAATTTTCAGCATGTGATATCAGTAGCCCGAATTTCGCAGGCCGACCAATTGATATCAGGTATGCGCCGGCAAGGAATCGAACCTCAGACCATGTGTATGGTCGACGAGAGTCCTAACCGCTGTGCCACCGATGCACCACTGAGTATTATTGTGTTTGAACTAAAGTAACTTTGAAATAATGTTATCAATTATGACACTACTGACAGTTTGTTGTAAAGCTGTAGTACAAAAAAGGAACGCGACAAATCTCAGGGACATTTCATTCAGTAGTTTTGGAAACTAGGTCATTTTTAAGACAGGTGAATCTAATCAACATTATCTGAAATGTTATTGGAAATATAGATTAGCCCATCAGTTTTTTATCTTACGTTTGGGTCTTTCGCTGATGCACATGCTATACTTTTTAGGTTGAACCAAAACACTTGACCCTTACAGCAGACACATTGCTATTGCTCTGCTGGAGATGAAGTTCATTAGGCTAAGCACTCGGTGTACAACTGATGGGTCAGAGGTTCGAATATCACTCCATCTACTTCAACCTGGGCAATTGGATAGTATCATCAGTTCTCACATAATGAGTGTGGCTCTTAGTTTGGCACATGGAAAATCTGTTCCGGGTAATTGAGCTCTACCTGATTGAAATTTAGTGACTGATGTCATTTAAATTTCAGTCATTGCGTGTTATCGAAGTCATTGGCTTAAGTTCCGCTACTGAGGGTTTTGTCCTAGCTTTGATCACCACTCGATTATATTCAGTCACTGTTTTTGTAAGTTTTGACTATCTTTAATTTCGGTCATAATAATTAATTCGAAGACAACGTCCTTTCTCTGAGACGTTGAACTATTCTATTTGTACAGAAATGTAGTGAAATTATCGTCCAGTGCATTTTGTTTTCAGTGACCCATCAAAAAGTTTTTTTTATGGAAAAAAAATCTGTCGTCGAGTAATTTGTTTATACTCTGTATGCAACCATGACTTTATTTTTCATAAATCAGATAAATTTCTGTTTTTCACTTTTTCATCATTCAATTTTCGATATCATACATATCATTGGATGAACTTCAAAGTTATCCGGTCTCAAACGTTCTCCTCTAGCTAGTTCTACTTCATCTGTGAAGGATAAGGCTAGTGTACCTGCCTCAGCTGGTAGACGTATGTTTTGTTTTCTATAAGTGCATGCTTAACTGAAACAAGAAACATAATATATGTATTATTGATTGGTTTATATACATCAATCTTACATCATATAACAGCTACGCTTTAATTTTGCCTCATTTCTTTTGTTCTAGTCATAACATTCGTCTAATGCTTTTAATCCATAATTACAGCATATGCTATAACATCTAATTTTTATTTTTATTTTTTTCTGATCGGATTCATACTACTGTATATTTATTATTTTGTTCTTCCTTTTTTCGTCACAGTTCCATCAGAAATTGAAAAGACATCACAAGTAAGTTTAGTCTTTTTTTAATATGTTGTGATGACTGACAGTGTCACATAAATTATATTTTTCGAGGCTATCTAGAAAAACGTGGCGTGCTTTCATATATAGGGATTTGATTGATTTCGGTTAGAGAAGCACATTAAAAACTAGGGAGTACTGGACAACTGTCTCCTTCTAGTTCGGGACTCTTGAACAGTACGCACCCACAGTCTCACAAAAAGCGAATGAACCCGAAGCCCTCGGGTTACAAGGCAAGGTCTCTGACCATTTAGCTGCTGAGACAGAATCCAGTGGCCGATGAGGTTGGCTGGTGGTCGCACTGAATATCGCGAGAAATTGACAGAAGTTAGAATTCATGGGCTGGTCATTGGATTCTATGCCAACGGCTGAGTGATCAAAGATCTCGCCTTGTATCTTGAAGGTCTTGGCTTCGATTCTTGCTGGCAGGGGGTCTTGAGTGAAGTCAGTTCGGGATCAAACTGTAAGTTATCCATTTGATTGGCTTGCCGTATCTATCGTGCCAGATAGAATGATTCTATTTCTTAATAGACAGCTGATTTTCCAGTGAACTTAATACATTTGATATTTTTATAATTTATCGACTTATTATTTTGTGTTAGTAAACTTCTTAACATGTATGTATACACTTCTCTTTATTGTGTTAAGAATTTATAGTCGCTAATCGATTTCTTTCACATTTTGCTTTTACTGTGTATTGAGTATATATATATATATATGCCTATGTTCTAGAATCTGTCTTCACCCTTCGACAGATTCTAGAACATAGGCATTCCTACCGGCGTCCAACAATCATTATATTTCTTGACCTAAAGGCGGCATTCGATTCTGTCGACCGAGAGGTTCTCTGGCGATGCTTGGCTGTAAAGGGAATGCCGAGAAAATACATTGCACTGATTAAAGCACTCTACTCGTACTGATGCGGTCAGGTGAGGGCTTGTGGCGAGTTGTCATCTGAAGTGGTGACGACTAGTGGCGTCCGTCGAGGATGCCCATTATCCCTATTCCTATTCAACTTCATCATAGACGTACTAATGGACTTAACCCTAACACACTTCAGCGACTCAGGGATTGACTCGCTACCAGGGAATAATCTCGGCGACTTAGAATATGCGGACGATATAGTCCTTCTAGGCGAGGACGCTGACAAAATGCAGAGTCTACTGAACACCTTGAGCAACAATCTTCGTATGTTTGGCATGCGATTCGCCCCTGTAAATGTAAGATGATGCTGCAGGATTGGACTTCACCGACCCCTAGATTAGAAATAGGAAGTGAAGTGGTAGAGCACATTGACCGCATCACTTGCTTGGGAAGTATCATCATCCCCAACGGGTTGATCCCCGACGAAATCTCAACACGAATACAGAGGGCTGGTTTCGCATATGCCAGTTTACGCCACCTCTGGCGTAGACGCGATATCCGACTATCGACCAAGGGGCGTGTGTACTGCTCAACAGTCCGCTCCGTCCTCCTTTATGGCTGTGAGACCTGGCCATTGAGCGCAGAAGGCTTGAAAAGATTAGCTGTCGTCAATCATAGTTGTCTGCGTCCTATCTCCCGCGTGAAGTGGTATGATAAGGTGAGCAATATTGAGGTTAGGAGTCGACTGCTAGGTAAGGAGGGGAAGTCAGTCGACGAGACTGTGAATTTACATCGACTGAGATGGTTAGGACATGTGCTACGTATGCCTAGTCATCGCTTTCCTCGACGGGCCATGTTAGCTGATATAGGGTCAGGCTGGTAAAGGGCTAGCCGTGGTCAAACGAAAACATGGCACCAGTCAATGAAATCTACAACAGTTAGTCTAAGACACGCAGGAAGGTGTAGACTTCCTGGTTGAGGTCCTCGGGACGGTAAAAACCAATATATATATATACATATATATATATATATATATATGTAAGTGCTTATATCCACAACCAATCAGGTGACTTGGTTTCTTCACGTATCTATGAGAAATATACATGTTATAAGAATAAAACTTGGGCACTGTGGTAGAGTGTAATTCCATTATGGGTAAATTTTATTTTGATAGAGTCTCACAGTGTTATACAGTAATATTTACTGATGACGTTTCGAGCACAATTTATTGCTCATAATCATATCAAGGACCTTGATATGTCAGGGTTCAATTCCCGGCCGACACACTCCTAAACCTCGCCTAACCAAGTAGTAAACCTGGGAAAGAGACGTTTGGCCATGAGGCTAGCAACCATATTTCTCGAAAGAAAACAAAACATCACTGCTAGTGAAACTTCAAAGTTTGAAGTCCTACATTCTACTTAGAACTGAAGGAGAGAAAACGAATTTTTTTAAGCTGGTTATAAGACGACAACATTCTCACTAGCATGGACCAACATAAAGAAATAAAATGAATGATTGTAAAAGAGATACTGTAGGAACATTTAGAATACATGAAAACCTGTTTTTTCTCAGTCCACTGCCTTCCGACTTGAATATAGGACTTAAGGCTTCAAGTTTTGAAGACTCAGTAACCATTGTGCTGCTTCTTATGGGGTGGATTTGTTAGCCATACACCCAATCTTCAGTCTTTTGCGGACTTACTCTGAACTGGTAAACTAGTCAAGTTTTATTAGTACATCGACCGGGAATCGAACCCCAAACTAGGTGCTTAGTTAGCGAGCATTTTACCACTGAATCACTGATGCACCCTTTTTGTCACACATTTAAATAAATTAGTTTGCTCAGTGTTCATTGTTCCCTAAATGGAAGTCAGAATGTGGTGACAGTCGTCTGCAAGCCAAAATTATAGACAGCAGTCCACGTCAATGTTGACGTCCCTAATCGAGGTCATGAGAAAAAACAAGAACAAAGCTTAACTTTGAGGACTTAACGTGTGCAGATACGATTCGCAGATATATGGCTTAACTTTCTGAGAAACGGTCACAAGCAGTACAGAATAACCTTCAGTTAGTGGAGAAACAACCAATAAGAAGAGGTTGCTTCTCCACTAACAATAACGCTAATAATAATACACATAGGAATATATAAATATCTCTTGGTTGTATTCAATAAACGATCTGTTACCTGGACCTTGTCTTCTGTTGTTATAAGAATGCTGAAGTCTACTTCTGACAAATCAAGGCTCCATGACTCAGTAATACACAGAAGTTCTTACTCCTATGTTAACCAAATACTGAGTATCAGAATATGACATGAGTAGTTCAATATCTTACATATGTATCCTGGTCCTTTGTTCTCTAATATTTTACGTTCTCTTACTGAACAGTATTCCCCTTTTGTATTTCACTTATCATGTTTTCGCTTATTTATAAAACACTTACCTAATACTAACTGATCATTGTTAATACCTGGTTTTTACTCACAATCTTTTGTAATTCTCTAAATTATATCTGTACTTTCAAAGCACAACACCTCGAAATCCACTCTGTAGTGGATTTTCACCAACTATGTTTTGTGCAGACTGTCTTCTAAACTGATTATTAATTTCATACAAATGGTATCTTTTCTTTCTGGTGTGGTTTTTGTTTTATTAATATTTGAATTTATGTGATAAATTTATTAATACCTTAGTTTACTAAACCTTTTTCTGTTTTAAGTGATAAATGGACGTAAACTGCACAAATCAACAGTTGCTGCAGAACTGTTGGAGTTCACTAGATCTCATCATCTTGTGTTTCATTCTAAGTGATTATTCAGGGTGTCGGTGGCACAGCAGTTATGACGCTCGCCGACCATGCATATGGTCCGGGGTTCGATCCCCAACCGACGCCCACCTGATATCAATGGTCTCAGCCGGCTAAATTTGAACTACCGATATGATATGCGGAGAATTCCGTACTTGTACCAAAATACTGTGTGGAATGAAGCTATAATTAAATAAATAAATAAAATGGTTAATTTTAAGGTTTTAAGCGAATTGCAGCTTCCAGTGTGTTCTACACTGAAAACCATGTCTATAATATCAAATATAGATAAATCATCTTACAGTATAGCGTATCTAAAAATGAATGAGACAAACAGGTTTTTAATAAAGTTTATGTTTCTTCTAGAATTATCAATTCTTCAATAGTTCAGATTCCTTGTTGATAATGTTCAAGCTTTCGGGATTTCATCTTGTAAATGCCTATGTAAAAACATTCAAGGTAATTTGGAAACTGATCTGACACCATGGATTGCAGCAACTCAAACCTGTATCAGCCTCATTCAACAGTTATATGACAATGCTTCATGCCAACTGATTCACAACGGGGAGCTTGGCAAAGCCTCTGAAGTAAAGACTATAGTAAGACAAGGCAGCCTACTGCCACCGACGATTTTTCTAGTTATATTAGACTGAGCTATGCGACAGTCCGTGAGGAGAGACAGGACGGACATACACTGGAGGGAAAAAAAGACACTGGAATATCTGGACATTCGTCGATGATTTATGTCTGATTTCGCAGAAGTTTGAAGATCTACAAGCGAAAGACCAGCAAGTTAGTGGAAGAGGCAGTGAAGACCGGACTTCAAATGAACATTGATAAAACAGAAGTGATTAGAAACCTAATCGACAGCAACAAGAACGAACTAACATCAATGGGGGAAGTGTGAAGGAAGCCACTTCTTTCAATTACCTAGGCGGGAAGCAAAGATGAAGATGTCAAAGGCAAGGTTGAAAAGGCAATACAGGCCTTCATTACTTTGAAATCAGTGTGGGAATCCGTCGAACTCTGTATAAGTAACAAGATCCGAATTTCCAATGCCATTGTCAAGTCAGTCAGTGATTCCATATGGTTCAGAGAATTGGCGCACTATCAAAAGCATACCAGACAGACTTGGTTCCATACTGAGGATCAGATGGCTGACCAGAAAGGTAAGCAACAAGGAACTCCGTCAGCCAACTGCCCAAAAGCCTATTGCCCATGTAGAAATATGTAGAAGGACATATATATGGATCAGAAATACACTGAGAAGACCGTGGCATCATGCTCCAAGCACTCGAGTAAAACATGAATGGGAAGCGAAAGATGCGTTGTTTGTCCGAGGATGGCATGGATGAGTTCGTGTAAGGTTAAGATGAAAGCTTATGAGCAGTCGAGGAGCCACCTAAGAAAAGACTGCGGAGAACAAGATGCAATGAATCTGTGCTGCTGTGAAGCCTAATTTTCTACCAGTAACCCGTGGGAGTAGCAATTATAATACAATAAGGTCTAAGATTACTTTAAATTGTTGTTAAACTTTACTCTTCCTTTTACTGTACATGTATTAAGCTTGAGTTTTTGGTGGTCTTGTATATATTTAAAATAAACAACATGTTTAACACAACCACCTAGTGTGTTGCACGTTATGAGTACCAGTTTATTCTGTTATCTCGTGTTTTGCTAAATTACAAAAGGTATATCTGCTTCTCTTCTTGGTGGTAAATTTTTGCACTCAGCATTGGAGTTTCTATGTGGTGCTTTGAAGTGTAGCACCATGAACTAATGAAGTGTTGTGCAGTGTTCCGCACTAATCCTTCAGTCATATCACTTGAGGTGTCAGTGTAGGCGTTGTTTTGAGCGCCAATTCCTTTTTGAAGCAGCGCATGTCAAACCATCACTTTCCATACTTTTACTCATTTTTTCTTCACTTTTATAGCTTCCACCAACTGGATCTAATCCAGACCTTGTACGAAGTAGTCCAGCTCCAACATCAACAGCTTTAAAACCTGAAACTGCCTCTGCAAAAATTGAAAGTCCTTCTAGTAAGCCTTCTGCGGATAAACCTGTTGCAGCAGATGTTATGAAGTCCAGTGACATAATGAGTAAATCTTACACACAAATTTCAAAATCGGATAGTCCGACTCGTAAGATGATAAGTGGGAGTAAACTCCCCACTTCTACTACCACTACTACATCAACACCGCCTATCCCTTCTGGTATTAAAATGCCAATAAATCCTTCGGAAATATCACAAACAATAGCAGCACTTAGTGATGTAAAAGCGGCTGCGCAGAAGGTGGATTCTGAAAATGCACCAAGTGAACTTAGAGATACGTCTCAAAAAATACCAAAAACATCTGTATCAGCTGTTCCAAGTGGTACTGGTAAGTACATCCCAGACACAGAGTTGGAACTGGCAAGTCCACGTGCTGAAGTAATCGAATTTCGTGAACAAATTGATGCTTTAAAAGCTAAACGGGAAGAAGATAAAAATAGAATACAAGAATTAGAACGTGTTAAAATTCAGCTGTCACAAGTTGAAGAGAATCGACGTCGAATCCGACAACAAGCAGCTGAATTACAACGTGAAATTGCTCAATTAAAAACAGTAGGTTTTCTTTCTTATATTGATTTTAACAATTTTGTTGGGTTGGTGAACTGTACTTGGAGCTTAAATTATTCTTTTGAAGTCACTATCATTACTGTTTCCAAAGAATGGATACTGAACAAAGAATACTCTTTTCGATAACTTCATCATCAGGCTCTGCAGTTATATATACATTATAGTGAATGAATGAATTAGTGTTGTGAACAACATTAATGTTTAAATAACCACGAATATCAATAGATTATAGTTAAATAGCATCAATATAACAATAAACTAAATGTCAGAAAAATTAGTAAAGATAATAATACAAATTCATGGATTTATAATCTCCACTAAAGGCCGGGGCAATAGTAGTGGCTGGACTTGCTTCTTTTGCACACAAAGCACTGGTTATTTGAGGCGAATTGAAATAGCCTCTGCTGTTTGGAGCATGCGGTACTTCGCTGTTTTCGGCAATTTATTTGGCACACGGTAGATGATAGAGAAGGATTCTTCAATGCTGGCTTTGTGGCTGGTTTGGACCAGATGATCAAATATCGAACTGTTGATGGTTTTCACTACACCTTTACATAGCTCTACTGGGAGATGTTTCTTTTAAAAATTGAAACCACTGTAAATAAATCATAAAATTGTATGAACGGAAAGTTTGTGAACTCTCTTAGTTGACTAACTGTAAGGAGATAATATATTCTCAATCGATGGCGATAACTAATCAAAATCGATTGATAACCTGAAAATGACCCTATATGGAGTAAGCTATTGATGATGCAACATGAAGTTGTTGACTGCTAACACTTGAGTTTTGACTGTTCCCAGTTCCAGTTTAAAAAAGATGGTTCTCAGTTATAGAACCACAAATAGCCACTGCACTTTGTTTTCGTACTATTTCTCATCCACGACCCATGTTAATAATAGATTAGTGTAATTTCGCAATTGTACAATCTATGGGACCTATGTCTACCCACTCTGTATGTAATGACAAAGTTGACGTCAAAAAGAGTAGTGCTAGTAATCACATTTTGCAGATAGCGAATACTAATAATATAGTGGAAACACTTCTACCAATGTGAATTTTGTCCGTTTACTTGCTCACAGAGTGATGTGCAGAAACTGGTGATCTTTTTACTGCCATTTAATACATACCAACCATCAAAAAGTCGACGTGTTCTGTGTGTGTGTGTGTATGATTCTCCTACCTCATTATCTGTGATCATGACTCCTTGACTCATTGGTAGAGTTTTGAGCCTTTATGGTCAGTTAGTTTTTAATATAAATATGTATTGACAAGGAGGCCGTGTGATCAGAATGTCCGAAATGTGTTACGTGAATGCATTACATGTTTCAGATAGAACAAACTGCGTCTTATTTTTTTTGTTGTTGTCGAAATTCATGAAAGGAAGTAACTGCTTTTAAAAGTAATAACTTCTCCAGAGTGAATTACTCTCATAAGTTTTGCACTGATTTCTTCTGCTAATGAATTGAGGACATGCAAGGCAAACTTAGCTCATTGATTTAAGCACTTGACTTTTGACCAGTGGGCCTCGGGTTCGAATCCCACTGTGCCTACCTAGAGCGGGTAACTGGGCAGTATCATTAACCCTTACACAATAAGTGTCACTCATAATCCCTGGAATATGAAACACCCCTTCCAGGAACTGAGTTCAAAGATTGCATGCTAACCGTTTGGTTCAATGATAACACTCGCATCTTGTAACTCAATGATCCTGAGCTCATTGCTCCATGCAGTCATGTGTTTGCATTAGTAAAAAGTGCCAAGCTAGAAAATACTCGCTCTGTTAGCTCTCCTTAGTTTCTAAATACATCTCTGGCTATTTTCATTGAAAACCTGGTTCACTAATGTGTTTATTATTAATCTCTATTGAGGAAAAAGCTGAAGTCAAAGAAGCATTTGATCGTTATCGTGAAGAAGTATCTGAAATGGTTGAAAATATAGAAATGATCACTTTAGATAAAGAAATGACCGAAGAAAAACTAGAAAGATTGACTGGAGAAATTGAATTACTTAAGGAACAAGTAGAAGAATTAACTCTTGAGAATCAAATCTTGAAAGAAGAATTTGAAGAAAAAGGTTAGTAGTAATGATTTAAGTTGTTTCAAGGTTATTTTAAAATCGTTTCTATTGTATATGTTATTATTATTCATTAGGGTTCCTAGTGGAACATATTGCTTCAGCAACACATCGATCGATATTTCATCCTGTCGCCTTCGGCCTGTCGTAGCTGGCCCCACGATTGCTCATAACTTTCATCTCCACTTCACACGGCCTCCTTCATGTCACTCTCGTGTGCCCAACTCATCGATTGTTGTTTGAATCTCACTCGAGGGTCTGGCACGTGATGTGTCACTCGATAGTTTTCTCAGCCTGTGTCCAATGCGTTTATGTTTTCCTCTGCATATTTGTTGGACGATATGATCTTGGGTGGTTTTTTCGTGCCGGAGCTCCTGGTTGCTTGCTTATCCTTACTTGTCATTTAATCTGCAGTATGGAGCGAACGCATCTGAAGCCTCTTCGAAAAGTTTCTACTATAGTTGGGATAAACTACTGAAAAGGAAATTGTACTAGTCAAGTGATTTACACAGCAGTGTTTCCATTGATATCTTAGCTCTTAAAAATTCTCGTTTAACACCTCACAGAATGTGATCTAACCACCCATCTGAACTTTCTATAAGATGCTATTAACCACGTTAGCTCACAGGTTGCGAAACAAGTCAATCAACTAAGGTAGAGACACAGGCATATCGTGATAACAATTTCATCGTATTTTATTATCAGTCATTTATAACTTGGATAAACATTTCACTTTTTTTCTTCAGTGTTATCGGCTTTACTCTAATCGCAGAACTGTCAACTGACATTGTGCTCATTACTTTTCAGGAGCTATTGTGGTAACTATCTCCATACTTGTTGTTCATGTATTTTGAGAAGTCATTTTATATACTTCAAGGTAGTATTTAGGCATCTACTGAATGAGTTCATCAGTCCAGTTGTTAGCGCCAGATGTCCGGATTCGCCCTTTCAACCAGGCAGCTTAAAGGTAGTAAACAGGAATTACGTAATCAAAGGCTATAAACGCGTAAGCACATGAGACGACTTCTAGAGGAAGACTGAAGTCTACCCACCGTCGACCGTACCAGGTCGTTAATTGTAGCCGTATACCAAACTGAAGCTGATCAATTCGTGTCAGATTTATCGGCAGGGAATCACATAAATAAGCTAATACTGTCAGTGCGTGACATTACTCAAAACTCATTTTTCAATTCTGAGGATAAAGATTTACCGACTGGTAAAGAAGAATATGTAAAAATATAAAAGGTCACCCTGTCCCTTTATAGAATAATTTTATTTGGGGAGAAAAACAGTGATGCAACATTTTTTACTGATGACGTTTCGACAACAATTTATTGCTTACAACTATATCAAGGCACTCACATAACTTTTAAACTTCGTTTATGTAATTCTATTATTTCTTATCCATATCTCCAGTATACCAGCGTTACGTTATTCCTACTCATGTGTTACCTATAGATTAAATGAAGAAAAATTCAATGCTCGATTTCTCTCTCCACCTATTTATATTACTTTTTAGAACTGTAGCTCTCTCCCCATTGTATTGTGTGATTTTCATTTTTGTGAAGTCCATCATTTCACACTAAGCCAAATTCGTATGCTCCAATAATCTGACCAAACAACTGGTCTTACAGTTGTAGTTGATCTCACAGTCACTGCAGGTCATTATATTGATTAAATAGTTTTGTCTAATAGGGTCCCTTAATCTCTGAGTTACTTTGTAGGTTTAAATTCCACCCTAATTCCTGCCTTGTTATGAATCCTACGTCGAGTTATTTTATCGAATGAAATGATCCCATGATATGGAATTATACTCTGTTCCTACATCAAGGGTAACTGCGTTTTCTTGTCTAGAAATTCGCCAACATTTTTCTCTTACTTAAGGAGATAAATTACTGGACATTGCGTTCCTAGTTACTTATTGGATTCTACGTTGTTATCTCTCTTTCTCTTTCTTGTGGGAAATAGCGGGTGCAGTATCAGTCGGTGTTGAAGGCGGTCCAACTCTCTTACAGTTTAAAAATCTTGAACAACAAAATGAACGAATGAAAGGAGCACTGGTCAAGCTACGTGATTTGGTTAATCAAGATAAATCGGAAATTTCAGCTTTAACTAAACAGGTAAATTCCTGCTTAATAATTTTTATGTATGATGCAGTGAGCAAAGAAAGAAACTCGATGAAGGTAAAGTTGTAATTTTGATGTTCTTGCGTTCTTTGAGCTGGATGATTTTAAAACTGCGAAACTTTCATGTTCCTTCGGAACAACATCTTCAGTACAAGCTTCTTATCAAAGCGCATCGGGTGCAGGGTTCTAGTCTGAGTGGAACACCAGCATACGTACGTCCAGATGATGAATCTCAAATAGGACGAAGTGCTCATCCTACATTCCTCTGCTAGTCACTGTTATCATAGTAAAGGTTTTTCTAACTTATGAGATAAGTAGTGAATGCACTCAACTTACCAATTCAATATTTCTAAACTTATTAATATTCTGTACACGAATCAAGTCTACTTTTTAAGAACACTAAACAGGCTACCAAAAGTTATAAATATTAATGGAGCTGTATAGCTGAGTATTGTGAATTCTTCGCATATTGGCTTTAACTGTGTTTTGAATTTCGTTTATTCTTCCAACTCTTCTTTTAACATCAACTCACTCATAGACAATATCAAAGTTTACAGTTAAGTCTGAGATAACAGTTTGTCTGAGTGGGAAAATAAAGCCTAAAAGTGAATGGTCGAGCAAATGGAAGTGATGAATGATGTGATAAGAGTTATTTACCTCTGTTGTCTTACGATTTTTGTGAAGCTCGAAATGTTATGGGGACAGTCCAAATCTGTGACCTTTAAGTCCAATTCGAAAATAAGCAAAGCAATGTCATGATGCATTTTATCTTAATTTTGGTAACTAAGTCAAATCTGTAAGCCATTTTTACCTGTACACATTCTGTCTGGAATCAAGGCGTTTCAAACTCGTCACATGGTACCCCGTATTCACCAAGCCTTCATTTTTGTGGCAAAATTTCTTCCACATAATAATGCTGTTAGTAGGACGCCCGTGTAAACTCTATGAAAATGTGTCTATTAGTAAGGTATTTCGAGAAGGTTAGATCAGCTGAGATTCTTTGGTTGTACTTGGTGCATTTAACCGCCATTTATCGCTGATTTATTGTTATTGTCTATTATATCTGTAACGGCCAGTTAGATCAGTTCACTCTTATTGCTTTCTTTAAACTAGACGACTAATGGTAGTAGTAAGGTTTTCACCATCACAATGAACTATACAGTCAGAAAATAGAAGTTAATTGGTGGATGGTGACTAGCAATAGAATCCAGGATGCGCATTTCGGCCTATTTGGGACTCGTCAATTGGATCTAGCTGTATTCCGCAGTGAGTGATGATGTCCCCACTGAGGCTCGGACGCAGTGCCCATAGCTTCAAACGCCAAAGCGTTATCCACTAGACCACTTGGGCCAAGAGGGCCACCTCTTGTGAAATGGGTCATATTAATTATTTAATTCAACTGGAACTGTCTCATATGTGTGCAAAGTTCTATGTTGAGATCAGTAAGTTAGTCAGCTTTATCTGTATATTCATTTATACTAATTCAGCTCACTTCTATGCTATTTTGTAATATTAAATAGCTTGAAACAGACATCACAGTCACTGACGTCTGATATCGTATTGAGATTGTGGGAATTTCGTTGTAGGGATTTGGATTAATTTTACTGCATATTTCGTCTCAATCCAATATCAGTTAAAAAAATTATCAAAAACCATAGAACACTAGACAGTGGTTTTGTCCCAACTTGTGGTTCTTCAGCAGCATGCTAAATAGTCATCGGAATCAGCCTTGTGACATGAAGGTCCTGAATTCGACCTCCGTTGGGGACGTGAGTGCGTATTGCTGAGGAGTTCTAATTAAGTGCGAAACAGTTGTCTGGAGCTCCTTGATTTTGAATATTTCCCTAACTGATGTTGGTTCACGACGAAATCTACACTATCACATTGTATTTACCTACTTTTTATGAGAATTTGAAATACCAAACTTTAAACTGAATAATTAATTTTGTTTATTTGTATTTTAAAGATTACATCTTTAGAATCAGAAGTTAGTCAACTTCAAACAGAAAAAGAACGATTAACAAAAAATTTAAAAGATAGTGTTGAACAAATTATTGAATTAAAAGAACAAGTGGATGCTTACCTCGGCATTGATACAATGGTCAGTCAGTTGACACAACGTAATTTAGAACTGGAAGAAACGCTTGAGAAAATTAAAGAAGAAAGAAATGATCTGGTATGTATACACATGTTGATGTTGATATGCTTAATAAATCCTTCATATGTATCCCTGCAGATGTTATGATTCCCAAATCTAATAGTATAAATAATGACTGCTTCTCGTGTTTTAACACGAACGATGTCCTTAATTGTCTTCAATCTCTGAAACCTACCCAGTCCCTTGGTCCTGATGGAGTTCCTGCTGTTATCCTTAAGAAGTGTGCTGACATCTTATGTTACCCATTAACCGACATTTTCAATGAATCCTTTTCCCAAAGTATTATTCCGGACTCATGGAAAAATGTCTAGGTTGTTCCAGTACCTAAATCAACAAGTGGACCTACTGTTAAGTTTCGACCGATTGCTATTACCTCACCTTTTTTAAAAGTTATGGAAAGACTTATTTTACTTAATCTTGAACCCTCTTTAAAGCCTTTTAATGACCCCAACCAGTTTGCCTATAAACATAGTAGGAGTACCTTAGATGCCGCTGTTGTTCTACATCATAATATAGTCTCTAGTTTAGATAGAGGAGCCAAATATGTTCGGTGTGCCTCCCTTGATTACACATCTGTATTTGACTCTGTTCCTAGGTCTCTTGCTAAGTAGAAAACGGGCTTGAGTATAAACTGCAACTCAGAGATGTAATTGGGTAATTAAAATAAAATAAAATAGAGTAAATGAGAGAAATTCTGATGGAAAGAAAATCGGGTAGCCTAGTTATTTAAGCAGACCATTATTGTTTGCTCTGATTTATTCTTAATATTGGTGCTCTACAATCTTTTATTTACACGGTTTGCGGAAAACTGTAAATAAATCGTTGTTAATGTAACAGGATATTATGAAATATCTTTAATTTCTAGTGTAAATGTAGTTCACACTTTTTTTTGTCTCACTTTACCCACTTACCTAACTACCGTTCATTCGTTAGTTAAACTACTATGGAATGGGAATTAGTTGTAGCATTTCTACACTCAATAATGACGAAAGTTTCCTGCAAGCGATGTGACTCCTTCATATTTCTAATTAATTAACTCTAACTAAACGGTCGGTTAGGAGCGGACAGGTGGTGTTCAATCCATGACGTGTTGTCATGGGATAGAGAATAGTTGTCATTAGTTTAGCATCTCTTGTTGCACCGCTACCCCGAATGACAGTCCAAATCACTGACTTGAGTTGTTATCAAATATGGCTGAGAATCGTAATCTGAGAGTAGCATGCGGTGATAAGTCCCCTGAATAAGTATGCTTGCGAGTTTGCATAATTCTGTTCCCCAGCTACTCCATTTCTCTTCCTTATACTGTGTCTTATTGTTTTTGTTTTGTGTGGCACATCTCGTGTTGCCCATATTGTAGCAAGTTGCTGCTGAAATAATAACAAGAATGAGGATGGATTTCCCGCCGATGAAATTAGTTGGTGGTCGCGCTAAAAACACGAATTGGTAGAAGTTAGAATTCATGGGCCAGTGGCTGAATGGAATACGAGCTTGCCTTGTAACCGGAAGGCCCTGGGATCGAACCCCAGTCCGTGCATACTTTCTCTCGGAAATTAGTCAGTGGTCCTCTTCAAACGGTCCTAAGCTGAATCCGTCTAAATATCAGGTAGTAAATTTCACTTTCAGACGAAAACGTGACCTACAACAACTAGCTAGCTCACATGGTCCCACTATCATTGATGGCATAGAGATTGAAACTACATCTAATGTCAAATACCTTGGACTGAGTATTTCCTCCGATCTTTCCTGGTCCTCTCACATCTTGCTAGTTACTAGAAAGATGTTTCGCTTGACGTTCTACGTTAGGAAGTTAAGGCAGTCTGGTATAAAGCAGTCTTTGCTTTCTCAGTTTGTCAACTCTTGTATTCTAACGATCCCTCTTTACTGCTCCCCATTAATCTTTCCTGGATTACTTAAGAAAGACTTTGCTTTGCTGCATAGGGCACTAAAAGCTGTTAGTAGGGGAAGTGGGATTTCGTTAAACCAACTGATTAACACCATTGTGGATAGACATATAATGTCATGTAAGCTACTAGCGAATTCTCTATACGCAGCTCTCTCCTTGCATTTCATCTGGTAGAACTAGAAGCAACTATAGGAGGCTATATGCCAGGGCTCCTAAGTACAAAAACTTCACAATACCTTATCTGGCACAGCTGTTATGTGATGAGAAAACTGTTAGGTATGACACGATCAACTTACTGCGGCACTCGAACAAATAGTTCCCATTAGCTTTTGTTCTCCTTTCTTTGTAACTATTATATTGTTGCTCACATATTCTATTACACATTAATTTTATATTTCATATCCTGTGGTGCATTGTTTAAATATGTGAATGCAATGCCGTTCTTTTTTATTTCTTTTATTTCTCGTCTTTTCTTTTTGTTGTTGTTGCTTTTTATTTTTAAAATCTTATAAAATTTATGAGGTAATTAGATGTAATATTGTAATGCACGCTGAAAATTCCATACCTGTACCATAAATACTGTTTGGAATAAAGCTATTATTATTATTATTAAGCTGTAAATATACCATGCCCCTTTTTCAATCTGCAAAGCTATAGACTGCAATCATATTCTATGTTCAATTTAAATGCGAGCATCCAAAGTATTACCTTATATTGATCTTTACAATAGAGACAACAGTACTGAAAGTAATAGTAAGGCGATAACCATCACTAAAGCTCAGCATTTTTTTGATGTTAACAGAAAGTTGATATTACTACTATGTGGAGTTTATAACAAAAAGTCTAGAAATGATAAGAATTAACCGTCTTTGATTTTAAAAAGTGCTTTGATTAAATAATTATTTGCTTCTTTTTTTTCCTATGGTTTTTATAGGAAGCTCTTTGTGAAATGAATGATGAATTGCAAGAGAATAGTCGTCAAACAAAACTTGAACTACTTGAAGAAATTGAACGAGCCAACAGTCAAATTAATCAACTTGTACGTCACTTAGATGCGACACGTGAAACAATTGCAGACTATGAACAAACTCTTGGTAAATTTAGAGATTTAGTCTCTGATTTACAAACACAAAATACTGATCTACGTAGGTCATTAGCGGATGAAAAACGCCTACAGGAAGAACAACAGCAACAAAATGCCTATCGTACAGTTGCAACAGATCTTGTCGGTTCTACAGCTGCATTTATGGGGGGTAAATTCGGATTAGGCTCTCAAGTACAAACTCTTGCTAAAGTGAGTATTTCATATCATTATTTTTATTGATATCAATCTGTGATGAAAAGTGAAAACAAATAAAATCCCTAGAAATCAACACTTAAAAAGTAATCTGATACTCACTAGTGGTTGACTTACCGATTGCAGTCACCCAAAGTTCTAGGGGAAAGTCGTGACTAGCCGAGTCCACCAAGTTGGGTGTGAGGACAAATATTCACCGCTGACATATTGGCTGGTGGTGATGTTGTATATCGGGAAACTGGCAGAAGTTAGAAGTGTGAAAAGTCATTGGATTCCATCCGAGTGGCTGAATGGTTATCGAGCTCGCCTTTTAACCTGCAGGTCTAGGGTTCCATCCTGCGTGAGGTGGTTATAGGTTCGTACTGCTGTCAAATACTCCCTGGGTTTCAGTGACTGACTCTCCAAATGATATTAATCCGTGATCACACTTAAAACCAATCAAATGGCTACAAGCTAGCGCTTGAAAATGATTTTTATTGCTAATTTTATTGATTTTACGGAATATTTGACACAGCGATTATTCATCGATACAAATTAAGTAATCCTGAAAGACCATTGTACACACAGAAATCATAGTAATAATTAAAAGTAAACAAAATGAAAAGGATTATAATGAAGGAAGTTTTCTATTCACCGAAATTAATTTTAAAACTTCATACTGGTTTATTTATACTAGAAGAAACAGAATATTTTATAATAATATCAAATTAGGGATTGAAATAGGCTCAGTGGGAAAATTTCTAACGCTGGTTTGCAAGGATTTAATTGATTTCAAATTGGATCATGAACCGACTTCAATTAGAGAACTATTGAAAACCAAGTAGTACTAAATATCTCTCTCTTCCTAGTTTTGTGAATTTCCAATAGTAGATACCTATCACCACCTCACTAGAGGTCGAACACAGGACTCTTCATTTTACAGGAAGAACTCGTTGATCACTCAGTCGCTGGGACAGAATCCAGTGGGCGGGCCATCAATTCTGACTTCTGCCAGTTTTGCGATTTATAGCTCCGCTGGCAGCCACCAACATCATCTGCAAGTAATTGTCGTCACAATCAACTTGGTGTGCCCCGTTTATGACAACCTCTCGCATCGTTCGACGCCTGGTGAAGTTATGAGTGCGTGTTGTTGAAGAGCTGTAAATGGAGACGAAACATATATTGTTCATTTTAATTTCATTAACTACTAAAATCTTGTCCGCAATTAGTAATTGTTTACTTTAAAGATGCCTATGTTTTTATATCTACATGGCAAGTCAATAGCATTTTTTATGCTAAATGCCTTTTAAACTTAATTTTGACATCCCGTTCGTCTTAGAAATAAACTCCGCTTTCCTTATATCACTATGATAAGCTATAACAACTATTGGAATTATACTTTTACCGATTTGAATTAGTTTAACAACTCAATTATCATTTACACTTCTCGTGTTTTAATCTGTAAGCAACATGTAATCTTTTAGAGATATATGGTTACCTAAATTTCGGTTAATTTTTTGGAATCTGAATGATAAGTGTGGTGTCTTAACCAATTTGCCTGAAGTAGATACGATGGCTTGGTTTTCTTAGAATGATACGGAGAAGGTCATGTGAGAAGGAAACGAAAACTCCTGGACAGTAGTGAAGCTATTTTTTCCTTGAGTTCTGATGGAAACATAGGGGTTTGATAACACATCTGCTTTGCAATCTGTTCTCTGAAGTCCCACTCTCGGTTAGCTTCACTACTAGATGGTCGCAGGCAATCGGCAGGAAGCCTTGGACCCTAGTTTTCGTGATTCTTGGCACTCGTCGGGAAGGCATATCTGCAACCTTGAAGGAACTCGTATCCCTTCTGAGATTCGAACCCACGTCACCCAGTGCTGCAGTCAGAGCCGTTACCACTGAGCTATTCAGGCTCGCGACTGACCTCCTGTAGGCCTGTATTGGCTATTTTTGATTCGATACTAGTTAGTAGCTAGCGTAATGTGTCTAGTCCTTTGTTTTGTGCAGACTGAATTCTGTCAGTCAAGTTTGCAATGTGGCCACCAACTACCACGAAACCTAGGTTCAAGGTTTCCTGCCGATGTCTTCCAACCATCTAACACCAACAATTGACAGTGCACTCTGATGGCGAGCCACCTAGCATCGTGGCCACATTACGAACTCGACTGATAGAATTCAGTCTGCACAAAACAAAGGACTAGACACATTACGCTAGCTACTAACTAGTATCGAATCAAAAAGAGCCAATACAGTCCTACAGGAGGTCAGTCGCGAGCCCGAATAGCTCAGTGATAACGTCTCTGACCGCAGCACTGGGTGACGTGGGTGCTAATCTCAGAAGGGATACGAGTTCCTTCAGGGCTGCAAGTATGCCTTCCTGACGAGTGCCAAGAACCACGAAACCTAGGTTCAAGGCTGTCGAATCCCTATGTTTCAGTCAGAATTCAAGGAACAAATAATACTATTAATATTAGAGTTTTTAGAAGTTGCGGCTCATTGGTCTCTGTGCCCGACTTTCAACACGTTGGTCACACGTTCGAACTCCACTCCAAGCATTGAAGTTTACACAGCCTGTGACAGTATGACCCAACCCTCACACAACATGTGTCGATCATCCCCAACTATATGAAATTGCAAATGACTGTTGAGTAACGTTGAGTTGGGTTGAGTTGATTAGTATTTCAAGTTCTAACTGATATTTATGTTTTAATTTCAATCATTCATGATGAACTCTTCTGTATTCTACTTGCTACTTTGAATTCATGTTACCATATTGTGTTTTACTGTCTTATTTAACATTGAAAAAAGGTAATTGAAGCTGAATTAAGACGCCTTGAAGCAGAACAAACTGCAAATCATGTGACGCGGTTATCTGCTTTCTTACCTGACTCATTTCTCCGAAGTGGTGGTGATAATGAGGCATTACTTACACTTTTGTTAATCGACCGACTAGCTGGGAAATGCGATCTGCTGGCTAATCATGTAAGTTTAATCTTATTCTCTCAATTTGTGATATTTTACTGTATATAATAAATTATACGTCGTAATATAGTCTCAGAGTAGTGTATGTGTCCACGAATTGTACTACTTTTCGTGTGTACAGTGCGTTACTGATATTCAGATTGGGGGACACAACTCTCTAATTTACTTTGCTCTAAACAAATGAATGTTTATGAGTTAATGAGATACCATAGATTTGTGTGATGCTTCCTTAATAATATTCGACAAATAAATGCAAATGTACGAACGATTTTGAGGCATATCACTAAAAGTCTCAAGCAAATAGTTCTTAGTGTCTCGGGGATCCCAGCCGAGTAGTCCATTCGACTACCTCTAACTATTATCCAAGCTAGTCCTGTGTCTGTTAACATTGCTCAATCAGGGAGGTAGTGACTTGGCATGTGTGACACATATCCCATCGATCTCGATCAATTTAGCTTCACAATTTCATTGACAGACTTCCTCTTCTCATCTAACTTCACTATTACCCACCATATTATACCACTTAACACGAGAGATGGGAAGCATACACCTATGATCAGTGACAACTAACCTCTTCATATCTCTCACTTTCAACAACGTAAGCAGAACGAACTGCTGCGCGGTACATATGTCCTTTAATCGATAGTTGTATATCCCGCCCATTACTATAATGAAGGTGAACGAAAATGGGGACAATGAACATACCCGACGGACACTTTTGATGTTCATCACTTGACATGATAACTCTCCATAGGGTCTAACAAGGCCGTGTGAGTTCGAGTAAAGCGTCTTGGTTAGTGTGATATACTTTTTCGGCACTCTGTTCACGACGAAACATTGATACATTACCTCTCGGTTGACGGAGTCAAATACCGCCTTTAGGTTAGGAAATGTAAGATTTGTTGGACACCGGTAAGTATGCCTATATTTCAGAATCTGTCGAAGGGTATAAATGTGATCCAAACACTCTCGTCTGGGCCTAAGGCCTGACTTGTTTTCACTGGTTTGTTCCTACCAAGTACCGCTTAGTGGACGCGTGATTATTTGTACTAGTCAAGCCAGTCAAGCTTAACCCTATGATTGTTCTCACAGGCAAACGTGTCTCCCTTCCTATAAACTAGAATAATCAATGATTTACACCAGTCCAACGAAACTATTTCCAGACACTACATGATATCTTAGTTAAAACAGTTAACAATTCATCACCACTATTCTGAAACACTTATAGAGTGATTTCATAAGGACCTGTTGCTTTTCCTCGTTTCAGACTAAAGACAGCTTTTGCGACCTCAGTTACAATTAAAGGACTAATGTCTACAGTCCATTCAGATAGGTGCTGGATGCTGAACAAACTAAGTATAACTGTAGGTTAGTTAAAGTGCTCCTCAAAATGCTTACTGACTAGCGAAATAAGTGTAAAATCGTTAAAACCAGTCAGTGGGAATTTATTAAGGGTGGATAATTATAAATAATGAGATACGAAATATGATGGAATATTTGGGAGAATGAACTATGGTCTAAATAAGCATTTAAATGACAAACAGTTTGCATTACGTCACAATTACATCGCTTGAGGGAAGTAGAAGCATTTTTTTTCAACACTAAAAGGCTAAGATAGTAGAAGAAAGCAGAGTTTTAACCAGTTTTTTTTTTCTGTGTACAAAGCTGCAGCTCCTGTAATTCGACATTTAGGGCATCAGGAGTGCAAAGAAAGTGAATATACGCTGATTCTGATGGGTTATTTAACAGTTCTTAGGTGTAATTTCGGAGGGTAAAGTTGTCGTGATTGAGTGATCAATGTTGACCTGATGTTCAGCTATCGCAGATCTTGCAGACTGATTTCTACTTCTTCCTTAACCATCAATCAATCTTAGGATCTTTACATTCGTTAGGTAGTTGAAAGGAATCGACAGGAAGCCATTACAAGCATCTTGTGCAACGGATATCAGTTATTACTTTTGTTTTTAGGTTAAAATTTTGCATTTCCCGTTGGTCGATTATGTTGACCTGAAATGCTGGGTCTCTCTGTTGACATGTCGGCCGCTAGTACGGATGCTTCGACTGTGTCTTAGGAATGGTGTGAAGTCACTTCGGTTGATGATGACTAGCAATGGAATCCAAGATGTGTATTTCGTCGTGTGTGGGACTCGGCAGCTGCATGCACAGAGCACTTCGATCCAACACATAATCAATCAACGATAAATGCAAATTAACCTAAGAGCAAATATATTCACAATCGTTTTATATTTATAGCATTTAATCCCACACTAAATGATTTACTTTCAGCTTGTTGAACGTTATCCATTGCCTCCTTGTGTTCCGGGTCAAGCACCACTACAGATGTCTCAAGGTGAAACCAGTACTACTACTGCTGATAATCCAACTGAAGTTGTTTGTGGAATTTGTATTCCTGGTACTGATAATCCACTGACTAAAACACAATCAGAATTCTATAGTTTTATAACTAGACTAATTCATCTACTCCGGTCAATGGCTTCTTTGTTAGGCCAGTGTAAACAGTAAGTGATTTTGTGTATTTAGTCTAATTGATAATATTCTAGTGGTAGTTTGTAGGTAGGATGAGTGGGTTGATTGATTTCAAGTAAGATTTGGCCATAAAGTGACTTCAGAGGGAGAGAGAGTGATTGAAAATCAAAGGGTAATGCGAGTTTATTTCGTCTTAGTCTGTGACTCCTCAGCAGTAGGCATAACCTGACCTGGCATTGAAACGAGAACCTTCAAGGTATGAAGCGATCAGATTCTTGAACATTGTGGAGTGCAGCAGACCAGTAGCCTTATGGTCACACCATCTGCCAAGTGATTCACAACGGAAAGCTCAGTGAATTGTTCGAAGTGAAGACAGGAATAAGACAAGGCTGCCTACTATCACTAGTGGGTTGGGTCATGCGGCAGACTGTGGAGGGGGAGTAGAAAAACAGGCATACATTGGACTGACAAGAAGACTGGAAGATTTGGACGTCGTGAATGATTTCTGTCTCGTGTCTCTCAAATTCGACGATTTACAAGGAAACACCTACAAGTTTGCAGAATTGGCAGCAAAGACGGAATTTCAATTGAAAAGCGTGAACAACAATCATCAGTTACCAGCAACGGGAGAAACCTGAAGGAAGTCTTTTCCTTCACTCAACTGGACATCATCGTTTCAACTACAGGCGACACGGATGGGTATGTCAAAGCCAGTCAGAGTTCGGAAATCACGACAGTCATGCATTAAATCTGAAAACAATGTGGAAATTTACCTCACTCAGCACAGAAAAATCCCCAATTTTCAGTACTAATGTCAAGTCAGTGCTTCTATATGGTTGAGAAAGCTGGCGCGCACACTACGTAAAATATTCCCCAGAAGCTGCAGACTTTCATCAATAGGTGTCTTCTCTAGCTTCATACTGAAGACCAATTAGCCAGTCAGCAAAGATAAGTGTCAAGGAAGTCTCGCAACGAACAAACCAATAACTTGTTGCCCAACAAATGTGCAGAAAGAAAAAAAGAGCCGGATTGCGCATACGTTTATGAAATTGTTAGGTGGTGTACTGCTAAAGTCCTATGTTGTTCCATGCGGAATCCAAGGGATGAATAATATAGTCACAAATATGCTCCACTGTGAACATGCAGTAGGTTCAGAATACGGATATCCAGAATTATCAGCTTTCTATTAACCCTTATTTATTCGATATAGTATTTCACACTGGGAATTTTCACTTAATGTTAAGATATTATGAGTGACATGAATAGAAAATACAGCCACTAGTGTATAACTTTCGGATTGTTTGTCGTACTTTTTATCGTTTTTTCAAATGATAAACACTATTAAAAAACAACTCCACAATTTTAACATTCAGTATGCAAATTTACTCCTGTATGGAATTGCTCCTGTTCAAATCTTAAAAAGGGTGTTGTTGGCACAGAGGTAGAATGCTCGCCAACCACGCAGGAGGTTCGGGGTTCGATCCCCAGCCGACGCATTCCTCTACTTCACTAAGCCAGTAATAAGACTGGTAAAGAGGGAAGGTTGGGCATGAGGCTAGCAACCCCATCCCATAAAAATAAATACCACTGCTACTGAAACTTCGAAGCTCTAGCTTGAAGCCCTATCTCCCACTGAGAACGTGAAGGAATAAATAAAAATCTTAGAAATACAAAATTGAATCCGTGATTTGCAATTTACGAAGTTTGAGAAGCCGAAATTATGGAGATCGTGGTGTGATATGCCTGTTAACATAAATGGCAATCAGGAAAAGAAGCATAAATGCATGACTGTATACTACTGATTGGTTGGTATGCAACTAACATCAACCAGTAGTGGTTGTTAGCCAGATTGAAGTGATCTAAACACCAGGCGGCCATTTCGCTCTTTTAGGGTCGAGCTCATTGACAGTGGTATCCAACTGCAGGAGGTTTTCAAAAGCCAGTCTTCCTCAGTATTGTCAACAGTCCTCCGGTACGTCTGTGACCACACCCAATCGCCGTGTAGCTGGGTCCCAAAATTCAGGGCCAGTGTACACCATCACGAACCTCATATGGGGGTTGGAAGCGATGTCAACCAGGTCAGAAGTTTTAGTCATCCAGCTCTACCAAGAAATAATACCTTGCCTCCTCACTTGATTTCTGTTCCCTTCTATGGATCTATTTATTATTTATGTAAACGCAGAAAAACTTGGTACAATGTGGCACCAAGAAAGATGCGCCACACAATATTGTGTGAGGACTGAGATACTGCCCGGGCGCCCAGACCGAAGCAGGTGGTTTTCCTAAGGGACCACCCCCGAGCCTTTGACTTGGAGTGTAATCCGCAAGGTAGCGGAGCAGCGTCAGGAGCTGCGTTCCCATGGTTGCCGGTGACCCATATGGGTTCATACGCCATTTGATCCGATTGAATTCTGGAGCCCATGTACCCCATGGTAACTGCTTTTAGTCTAACCGCTATCCAAACAACCTTCCTGACATGGTAGGACCTGCAGGGACATGAGTCCCAGCCAGTTTAGCTTATTGGGTCACTGCGGCATTCAAGCCCGACCACCACGGCAAGGTAGCAGTTATCGGTCGGGATTCTATGGATCAAGCCCTCAGAGTTCACCTCTGTCGCTCATATTTCTTTCAGCCATTAGGTAACCGCTGTTGGTGATTTTCCCAATGACACCTGTGGTAAAAACAGTTTCTGAAGCTTCTGACCCTGTTTACGACTACTGTGCCATTAGCCAACCATCCATTATGTCACTGGATACGTCAGATACATTGAAATCAAGGTCAGTTGTTTCTTCAGGGTTGAATTGTTTAGTTCTTCAAGTCTACAAACCTCCCCAAGTTAGTACCAATAAATGCAGCTCCGGTTTTAAATAATATCTTAATGTCTTTGTTTTGGCGAACGGCTACTGCTCAACTGTCCAGTTTCTGTTTTCTTTCATCTTCGAATAATAATCCAACAGCTCTCATCTATCATCAAATACTGCTGTATCTCGAATCATATTTCACTGCAGATAATCTCTTTAGAGATTATACATCTTCATCGCCAGATGGATTCTGATGTTTGGGTGAATGTTAATCTGATTGCTAAGTTGAATAAGAAGTGGTAGATTTACTTTCTTGCTAATTGTTGAGGAGTTTAATGCTTTAGTGTATCGTAAAAAAATAGTCCATGAAAACTGCTAGGCCTAGGGAAGATGTACTGTATTGAAGGTAGCTGCCATCTAGTTTCCCAGGTTGTATATTAAGTGGAGTGGAATGAGAACCTGTGACCCGTATCGTGTGAAAGCTCAAGTGGAAAAGTCAATAAACCACATCTTTACATTTCTGTTAACTTTCGGTTGTTTTGAACTACAGTAACCTGAATTGATTCAGTCCTTTCACAAAGCTCTAATTATCATTAGTTTATTTATCAGTTCTACATATACTTCATTGCGTTTATTGGTTTAGGGGTCCAAGTTCAACTCCTGACCGGTGCATTCCTATAACTTGCCCAGTTCACTAGTCGATAGTAAGCCTGGAAAATAGGGGAGATTGAGTCTGAGGCTAACAATTTTTCATCGTGTAAAAATGCGAACGGTATTGAAATTTCAAAGCTTAATTCCCGAAGCCTTATGTTCTACTCGGGACACAAACATGAAAAATATAAAAGGATCCTTTACTGTGATATTTTCCAACTGCAGGATAGCAAACTATGTGTGCACCTTCATCATTTGTAATCGTCTGTTAGATTTATTATCTATTGGTATCACACTTTTAATTTAACATTACTACACTATCGTTTTGCTTATTCTCTCTTTCTTAATAGAGTCCTTTCAGGTTGTAGTGTTGAACTCTATTTGAAATTCGGCTCTTTATATAATGAAATGATTGCACATGAACATTGTATTGATCGATTAATTGAACAAACAAAGAATGATCAGTTGGATGAGACAATTTCATTGGGACCATTATTTTCGTCATACAATTACTTTATTCAATTATATACAGTTCATTTGAAAACAGAACCGCTATTTAATTGTAACAATAAATTACTGGATTTCACGCGAACAATTCTATCAGCTGTTGATGCCTTATCTGTTGACTCAACTGCTTTGATGATATTGACCGGTCAGAATGTTGATTGTTTATCACAAGTGGCTAAAACAGCTGCCACTTGTGTATCTGGACCATTGAGTATGGGTAATATGGATGATGTTGGTTCGTTACTGTTAAGTAATCCTACTGAAAGCGGTTTAATTGGCCTCCTTAGTGAATTAATTCATTTTGCTACAACTGTACGTGTTGTTACGCGTCGAATAAAACGAAGAATCCCGAATAAGCCTACAGGTCAACCGTTATCATTTCACCAGGATGTTTCACAGAAATTAGATTCAGCTATACAATTGTTAGGATCAGTTGTTGGCTCTATGTATCAAACAACTCGTTTAGCCGGCCAGTTAACAGTTCGACAAGTTGTAAGTTTTTTTTTTGAATAACTTGTGAATATGTTCTTTTTCATAATAAAGTTAAACGTATCATATCTTATAAACCATTTCGTTATTCACAATACATGAAAGCACTTATTTTGATTTTAAACTGAAATGCATAATTGGGATGTTAAACGCCACCGATGGCTGAAGATTGGTGATATAGCTCAAAACTGTTCTCATTCCCTCTTTTGATCTCTCTCATATCCAGTGAACTCTCTTGTTTTTCCATTTTTACTATTCTGTCTCTCTGATGTATGTTTCTACTCATTATAATTCCTTTGAATCCCTTCTTTGTCTCTTTTCTCTACTTCTGTGTGCTACATAGAGTGTGGCAACCTAAACTGGTGCACTTCTGTGCAAAGTTCTCTGCTGAAATTCAGTCAGTCATCTGTCAGAAACGCTTAATATTCACATTTCGTAAATATGTGTTTAAAGCTGAATTTGGGGTGAGAGCTGGCTACGAACAAGCCAAAATTGTGAGCAACAATCTACGTCAGTGTTATGTCTGGAATCAGAGTGATGAGAAAAACGATTGCAAAGCTTAACCTTGAGGAACTCACCAACCAATTACGGCGGACTTAACATGTGCAAATGGGATTCGCAGATACATGGCTTGACTTTCTGAGAAACGGCCATAAGCAGTACAAAATAACTTTTAGTAAGAAAACAACCAATCAGAAAAGGTTGCTTCTCCACTGATAATAATGTACATAAAAATCTATAAATACCTTTTGATTTTCTCAATAAACATTCTGTTGCCTGACTCTTGTCTTCTGTCGTTTACAAATTCAGTAATTTATCGTTATTGTATCTAAACCTTATTATTTTCCTCTTTACATATTTTCTAACTCATACGACTATTTTTTACATCCGTCGACTGTAGTGTTGAGATTGTACTGGTGTATTTCTAAAGTTTAATTTCTTTGAAATATGATATATGATCAATAAAGGAGCCTCTCTTTAGCTAAATTATTGTCATCCCTCAGGTGATCGCTGGTCGTAATCGTGTAACTTGTTTCATTTTATTAAAGCACACTTGGTACATTGTTGGCGCCAAGAAATGTGCCACACAAAACCTCATAGTTTGCACGACACCTGGGATACTGCCCGTTTACCCAGACCGAAGCAGGTGGTCGTTTTAAGGGGTCACCCCTCCCGAGCCTATTAGTTAAAGTTTTATCCACATGGCAGTGGGCCGCATCCCCATGGTTACCGGTGACCGAAACGCGTTCATACTCCATTTTTATCGTTTCAGATCTTGAGTCACGATTTTCCAGCTTCTCCAGGTAGACCAGCAGGTTCACCAGTCCGGTTGTAGGCGCCAGACGTTCGGATTCACTGTTTAATCTTTTTTAGGACCAGGTAGTTTGAAGTGGTTACACCTTGAGTTGCCTCCTTTTCAAAATCAGTTTTTATTTTACTTTATGTGTCGTCTTAAGTTAACCAGTCAACGTTTTTTCTGATTTTAATTAAATTCTAGGAAGATACAGCCAATTTAGACCCCGGTGTTGTTTTCACTCATTGTTTATCAGAAGCTTGTAAAGAATACTTAACACCAGATGCATTCAATACTCGTTCCAGTGTCATTGCACCAGATATAGCAATTCGTAATAATTTAACTCAAGTTGCTCGTATTATCAGTCAAGTGGCATTAGCAATGGAGAATGGAGAATATGACTTTGATGGAACAAAACAAACCGCTGTAAGTTCACTGGATGTTTTTTTTTCCATTGGTAGTTAAAGGAAAGCTGAGTGGATTATGCAGTCCTCTAGGCTTAAGCGCCTATCAAAGTCCACTCATCAGATTTGTAACATGTGCATTAACTTACTAAACACTGTAGTAAACTTGAGATCTAGACAGTCGATCTCTATAGCGCTCTCCGAGCTGAGTAAAACTGGATACACCCCTGATGAGTTCGGCCCGAAACGACTTCCAGTATTTAGATCCCCTTGATTTAGCCAGCAAGCACTATTGGTCGGTATGTAATATGTTTTTTTACAGGGGTCAGGGGATAGTACAAGGAGCAAATAGTCTAAACTGATTACAATTCACGGATTTAATGAATTTTACAATTGATACAAAGTAATCTCAGTAGACCCCACCTGTATACCCGACAAATAGATGCATATTCGTAGAGGAACAAGTGAGGCAGTAGATGGAAAGTAGTATCTGCATATAGTGTATAACAAAACTGTTAAAATCAACAAGCTTATGTGGGCTCGAAGATCAAAATGTTAACCTTTTTTAAAGGTACAAAACTCAGTATTTTCAGTCGGACGAATATTTTAGAATAAATTTTAGTCAAATTTAACCGTCAAAGCATCATTAAATTAATGACTGTATTTTATAATACTTAATCTAGTTTTAAACATTTTCATACCTATAACTCCCCAAAAAGAGATAAATTGGAGCCCTGTTGTACTGATCACAGCAGTCTTTATTACGTGCTATATGTAGTAGGTACAGTGCAACCAACTTTTAATAAGTCGGTTAACTCCCTGAGGATATAACTAATAATTATTTTGGTTGACGGTGTATTGCATTATAATCCGCAATGCGCATTTTCGTCCCATTAAGGACTTGCCGTCTGGAAGTACTTGCATCCCTACTGAGTAGTGGTGATGGTGCTCATACTCAGACCCGAACCCTGCACCCATCTTTCCAAACTCCACAGCATTATCCACTGAGCCACGAGAGCCACCCCTTGCGCAACGAGTATCAGTTATTATTTTTGCTTTTAGGTTAATTTTGCATTTCCCGTTTATTGATTATGTTGTACCGAAGGGCGTGGTCTCTGTTGACATGTCGCCTCTTAGTACGACGTGTAGGTATTTAACACATCCTAAAATATGAATTCATTTCGTTCTTTCACTATGTATTCTTTTGCACATACCTCTAAGTTAGGATGGTATTTTACACTTTTGATAATAAATGGACTGATTTTCATTTTCTGATGTGGTATGTGTGTTTATAGCCTCAAGAACCAGTCTCTGCTCGTGCTGTTGCCTATAAACGTGCTCAAGCTGAACTAGAAGGATGTCGTTCTAAATTAGAATCTAAAGCTGAAGAAGTACGAGAATTACAAAAAGCACTTAAAGCACGCGCTGAAGAACTCAGTGAAATGTCTGTACGTGTTGGTTTAGCAGAGAAGAAATTAGAAACATCTTGTAAAGGTTATGAAGAGAAAATAGCTCGTTTAGAACAACGCTTAGAACAATCAGAAGCTCAATTAAAACAAAGTGAAAAGTAGGCCCCTGTTTGCTTATTTTCGGTGTAATTAGATTTTTGTTTCTGATTGATGTAATTGATAAGGGATTTCGCTATCCGATAAGAATTTTGACGAACTGTTACTAATTTTATCTTTGTTCCAGTGTCAAACAGATTGTCACAAATGGGGACAGGAAGTGCTAAATACAAAAGCACTGGTCCTCAATGACCAAAGGCGGACATATGAAGAGAGAGTGGACAATTTATTTAATGTTTACGTTGATGATACATAGTACATGTATTTGTGCTGCTTTGATAGACTTTTCACGATGTCATCTAGTGTCTCCTATTTTATATTCTTAACTTCCAAGTGTTGTTTTAATATAGGAATTTGATTGGTTCGAGATTTGATCACGAGCCGATATTGTAACGACAGAGGATAGATGTCAGGCAACAGATCGTTTATTGAGAAAATCAAGGGATATTTATGTACTTTTATGTGCATTATTGTTAGTGTTATTGTTAGCAGAGAAACAGCGTCTTCCGATTGGTCGTTTTCCTACTGGAAGTTATTCTGTCATCTCTTTGTGGCCGTTTCTTTGAAGGTTAGACCATATATCTGCGAATCATATCCGCCCAAGCGAAGTCTGCTGTGATTGGTTGTTGAGTTAGTCCTTGTTTTTGTTTTTTTCTCATGACCAAAATTTGGGACGTAAACATTAATGTAAATTGCCGTCTACCTATGTTGGCTAGCAGACAGCTCTCACCACAATATTAGTTAGGGAACTATAGTAAACCAGGGAGTACTGGGCATCTGTCTTGTCCTAAGTGGGGTCTCTTCATCAGTATGCATCTACCGGAGTTTGAGCTCAGGACCTTCTTTTCACAAGACGAGCTCGTAGACCAATTTACTTGATACTACCCTCTAAATTACTGTAACTGAACTAATCAGCAAAAAGCGCTAGTTCTAAAGAATAATCTGTTTATGATGTATGTCTTTTCTCGGGAAGAAATTGTCAATGTGTTTAAACCATCATAGCTGTTAATTTTTATGCTTCATTTCTTCTGGCTTCCAGGAAATTTGAACAAACCCTTGATGCACTTCGAGCGGATATCGAAGCTTTAGAGCATGAGAAAGCAGAACTTGAAGAGAAATTGGAGACTTTAAGTAAAAATGCCGTATTTGAAGGAATCAATAAAACTCCATTGGTCACTGGTAAGTTTTGTTTTCAGTTAATGCTTATGTGTAGTGCATATACTTTCAAAGGTATTGTAGTTGTATACATTCTTAGATCTTTGAATGGTAGAGTGATGGCCAATCACGTGGTTTGGGTTCCATTCCTGACTAATGCCCTCCTAAAATCTCGCCTAGTTTACTAGTTGATAGTAAGCCCAGTGAAGAATGAAGGTCAGGAATCAGGCTTTACTCTATAAGAAAAACACTACCTCTACTGAAAATTTAGCGCTTGAAACTTGGAACCCTGCATTGTGCGCGATGTCATTCAACGGCGTCCTCAACGTATACTCGATCCATCTCCATTTTCTCCTATATATTTGTCGAGCGATCGGCTCTTGGTTAGTTGGTCGCCAGCTAGGGTTTCTTGTTGTTAATTCTTTCTGGCTAGCCACTTGATCTTCAACATGGAACCAGCGAAGGTACCTGTTGATAGACGTCTGCAGTAACTTGTTGGAAACTCTTTTTGTGACGTGCAGTACAAGTTTCTGACCCGTATAGAAGAACTGACTGACTTGACATTTGTATTGAAAAGCGAATCTTGGTCTTTATGCTGCCTGAGTACAGAAGATTTCCAAACTGGTTTCAGGTTAGGTTGATGAAGGTGTATCTCGCTTTTTCGATCCTAGCTGGCTGGCTTTAACATCTTCATCTGTTCCAACTGCCTGTGATTGAAACCGTGCATTCTAGATAAATGAAAGAAGTAACCTCTTTCAAGTTTCTCCCATTGATAGTGATTGGTGCTGGTTGTTGTTGCTGTTGGTTGGTCATCTTCATCACCTCCGTCTTCTGTATGTTCACCTGGAGTCCTGTCTTCACTGGCTGCTTCTTATACCAGTTTTTTTGGTTTTCACTTGCAAGTCTTGTAGTCTGTGACATTAAACACAAATCATCCACACGCGAAATCCAGACCTTCTAGCGTTTTCTTATCTGTGGTCCAGCGTATTCCTGACTCCTCGCCACCAACAGTCTGACGCATAATCTACTCCACCACAATTAAGAATATCATCGGTGATAATAGGCATGCAGCCTTGTCTTACTCCTGTATTCACTTCGAACGCCTCACTGAGTTTTCTGTTATGGATCACCTGACACGTGGCATTGCTATATAGCCAGCTGTTGAATGAGGTTGACAAAGACTTGAGGTACGCCGTAGTGTTGAAGTAGTTTCTAAATTACTGGTGAAGGCCTTTTCGAAGTCGATGAAGTTGAGGTATATGTTTGACCGCCATTCTGTGATGACGATGCGTATAGTTGCAATTTGATCAGCACATGATTTACCTTTCCTGAATCCAGCTTGCTCCGGCGGGCGAAGTTCTGCATCCAGTACATCTTTTATTCTCCCCAGAATGACACGACTTAGTAGTTTACGCCAGTCGTTGCGGAGGTGTAGGTCACCCTTCATTGGTAGCTTGACAAGGTAAGGTAGGCTTTCTTCCAATCGGTAGGCACATCTCCTCCCTTCCAAACCTTTTGCAATAATGGCGTAACCCAACTACAATACTGGTATAATACTTTCTAAAATACTGGACAACAGATAGGCTTCTCATATATATCCACCTTTTTTCTAACTGCTAATATTAATAAATAGTTTATGTAGGAAAGAGTTGTATGATACAACAAATATGATGAACTTAATAGCACTTGTAAGCCGGTTCATACATCGTAGAATATTAAAAATTATTTATCAATGGATAAAATGGCTTTTAAGGTGTCTGTCGATACTGTCCTACTTTTATTAGTAAAAATGATGAGAAACAACAATAAATAATACAACATCTAGACAGATTATTTATACCAGTCGACTACGCGAACCTCGATTGGTTGGAGGACAGCTGTCAAAACGTACTAAACACTGATATATAAGACAGTTTAATTTTCTTAACAGTTCTCCCTAGTCACTGTTTATCCTCACTTGCATTTACCTTGGGATATGTATGATTGTAGATACAATGGTGGAAATTTGTAGTTCAGGTGGATAATTTTGGTGTAGTTTATGTACTCTGAGCTGGATCATCCAGCTCACCAAAATATGTTTTATGCACCAGATACTCGAGAGTAAGCCGAATAGAAGAATGACAAGTTGCATGTGGATCTGAAGGTGCCATCGTGGGGATCTTATGAAGAGGGAATGAAAGCTCACCGCTAATTGTGAGACCACCTAAAACAACTGCAGAGAAGAGAGTGAAATGGAAGTGTGCTGTTGAAACCATATGTTCTGTTCGGAATTCGCGGGAATAGTAACAGTCATTTTTCTTTATTCCTTCACATTCCCAGTGAAACATAGGGCTTCAAGCTAGAGGCTTGAAGTTTCTGTAGCAGTGTTAATTTCTACAGGATGGGGTTTCTAGCCTCATTTCCAACTTTTCCTTTTTATTACTGGCTTAGCAAGCTAAATGAGTGCGTTGGCTGGGGATCGAACCCCGGACCATGTGCATGATCGGCGAGCGTCCTAACTGCTGTGCTACCGACGCGCTAAATAACAGTCATAATTATGTATCACTATTATTTTTATTATTATTATTACTATTATTATTGGTAAAATAATTAGCAGTTTGAATTATCAGAGAGTATTTGATCATTTACGCAATATTCATACTTATTTGCTTTATAGTAAGTAATAAATGTATGTTACTTTAATTTTCCCCTTTTGCTAGATCAAACTCCATCTAAGGGTCAGACTGCTACACCTGAAACTCCTTCAGTTGGTAAACAAACTTCTGTTGAGGGTGCATCACCTTCACCTGGTCCTGCACGTCTAGCTGCCTACAGAGATGCTTCATTCATGTCAATGGAGGTTAGTTTTCACATTTTGTTTTCTTTCTAATAAATAGACGTTTATAATCCCTTCAATCAAAATATCTCAGAAAAAGTCATTTTTGTAGTGGATATTGCTAGTTCACGTATTTAACTTATTAAACTTCGAGTGGTTTCAACTGTCTCACCCCCTTGTAAGCTAAGTCATACCTAGTAACATCGCTGATGAGTTCGACCCTAGACTAGAGAAACGGCCGTCCAGTGTTTAGACTACGTTGATATAGCTAGCAATCACTTCTGGTTGATGTGAGTGGTATACACCTATTCGTCCCAATGAATCAGTAGCATATGGCGTCTTGCATTTATGTTTGCTTCCTTGATTTTTTTTATTTCTTTATGTTTCCAGTGGAAAATAGGCCTTCAAGCTAGACACCTGAAGTTTCTGTAGCAGTGGTATTTATTTTTACGGGATGGGGTTTGCTAGCCTCATTCCCAACCTTCCCCCTTTACCAGTCTTATTACTGGTTTACGGAGGTAAAGGAGTGCATTGGCAGGGGATCGAGCCCCGGACCACATGCGTGGTTGGCGAGCATTCTACCGCTGTGCCACCGATGCATGCCTTCTTGATTACCATTCATGATATCAAGTACAACATATATTGTAATCTAAATAATTTGCACAGGGAACTGTGATGAAATTTCATCTCCTTGAACTGTGGATATTGCAAATCGCCAATTGGTTTTAGTGGGTGTAGATGTCTAGTTCACAAATGGCATTAATTTTACTCATCTACGTTCAAGTTTACCACCAGTCAAATCAGAGGAGGATAATAAATAGTCTTAACATATTCGAACAAGTTAATTATTTTGACTATAAAAACACTCGTCTTATTTCCCGTCTGATTTTATTTGATCAATAACACTCATATTATTATTATTCCTGAATGTACATTATCCTATAGTGATTTTCATTCAAATATCTAATCAATCAATTCCACTCATGTATATAAATGAAGTAAAACGTTGTGTGGGTGATTTGGTATGATTATGTGCAATAATTTGTGCTCGAAACGTCATCAGTTAATCTTACTGTGTAATTTGTCAAAATAAAATCTTATCTATAATGGAGTTAAACTGAAAACAACTTTAAATAATCCCATTATTAACATTAAAACAAGACGACATATAAGCGAACTATATTGTTTTCACTTTAGATCTTCTTCAGGCTTTACTCTAATTTATTTAGATATATACACAAAATTTTTAACCAATGATGGTGAGTTTATGGATCAAATAGCAATAACAACGTGTTAAATGTTTTGAAGGTCAGTAATAAAGATGATTATAATGATAACAAGATTTATGCACGTGGTGATAAGATGAATGAAGGTATCAATATGTGTATGTTTAGGAGATTCAATAAATAATTTAGGTCAAATCTCAAAAGTTACGTAATACCGAAGCTGAAGTGGACAGGTAATTAGAGTTCAAAATAAATATCATAAAACTACGAAGGAAATGGAAAATAAGAGAGGGTGGAAGGGTTTTGATTAGAATTTGCCTAGGCAAAGGTAGAGCAAACTTCTTTTGTACGCAGACTAGGATTGTTCTCTCGAATTCCTATAGCTTCGGCTATTTGTAAAAAGGCGGGTTTGAATTCCATTCGAAAGGTTCGATGAAATGCGATGGATAACTTTGAAGGCACTTCTTCTGTCCACTTGGTGACTGCTATCAATCAAATGAGTCAAAGTAGAACTTCTTACAGATTTTATTTAGCCTTTTCCGAATTATGGAGGAAGATGCTCATTAATGGTGCGTTTGTTGAGCTGTCTAGTTGTTCGACCTACATAGCTTTCTCCGCAGGAGCAGAAACTCACCGTCATTGGTTAAATTTTCATGTTTAGCGCTGCTGATCTCCACATAGACTTGAGAGTAACGAAAGCTTGTCTTGGTTTCCCGATCCTCGCTTTGATATCCTCGTCAGTTCCGCTTGTATTTGAAACGAGGCTTCCCAGGTAGGTAGGTAGGTAGGTATTTAAAGGAGGTTGCTTCTTTCAAATTTCTCCCATTTATGCCGATTGTTGTCTGTTGTTGTTGCTGTTGGCCAGGAATCTTCATCACCATATGTTTTCTCTGTGTTCACCTGAACTCCTGTCTTCTCTGGATGCTTTTCTTCCAACTTGTTGCTTTTCACTTGCATATCTTCCAGTTTGTGGGAAATCAGACATATATCATCGACGAAGTCCAGATCCTCCAAGTGTTTTGTGTGGGTCCACTAACTACTTATAATTTACGTGAATACAGAAAGTGGTTGGGAAGAGAAACTTCCTAAATATTGAGTTCACCTACCATCTGGTCACTCTTTATGGATTTTTATATATCTATATAATTCAGACCATCACGCCGTTGACAAGTTATCTCATTAAAGAAAATATGTAACGGCATTTTTTATTCAAGAAAAAAGCATCATATTTATACATTTTTAACCATATTGAAAGTCGGTTAGGTCAGTGGACAATTAATAAACTGCTTTGAGAATGGTTGTCGATTGGCTGAAAGTTAAGTAAAGGATTAAAAATTGTCTAGTGAGATTATTTCCAGACCACAATGTTAACTGAATCCAGATTTGAAGACTAAACACTTCTACTCCTTTCAGCTACCAACTTAAAATGTTGATTTCAATTTTCGCCACTTCTTATCAATCTGCATCTATATATCGATACATAAATTGTAGCACATTGAACTGTTTTGAGAAATCTTTAATCTCCCTATATCAATATATATGTGTACGTATGGGATCATATGTAAATCTCCTTCAGTAGGTTAGTATTTGAGTTCCGAATATAGTCCTACGCTGTACGAGGTTGTTCCTCACAAACGTTATAGGGCAAATGTGAACTTTTGACACTTGAAGATGCATTGGTGGGACATGTTGGGCTACCTAAGGTAGTTGGAAAACTCTGATTCCAAACCTATGGTGTAGATAGGCTCCAGAATCCGAATGGATCGAATAGCATGTGAAATTGTTTTGGTCACCGGAGACCATGGGAATGTAGCTCCTTAGGCTGCTCCACTGCCTTGTTGATCTGTCTTCAAGTCAAAAGTACGACTGACAGTAAGGCATAACACATTCACGTGACAACTAGATATTACTCTTAATGGTTTTAGTAAAATAACGCAGTTAAGTAGGCTAGTTCAGCTAATATACATATCTGAATTGATAGTCCGGAGGCAATTGCTTCGAATCCTACCACAATCTGGAACTTTTAATTTTCATAAGTTAGGGTTTCAAGCTTTTAGAGAATCAGTAGTGGGTTTGTAGCCTTATGTCCAACCTCCACTATTGTATAACATAACTACCACCTGGTAAACAACTAGGTGAGGTTTTAAAGAGGCGTTGACCCGGGATTTGGACGTTGATATTCTCGTGTGTCTTGCGAGCATTGTAATGTGCCTTTTTTGACTTACAGATCCTTTGGAATGTTCTTCGAAATGCATAAAGACTTAAATCTTTTTAATGACTGACTTTATTTTTTGTTTCAATGTTGTGTTTTTTTATTTAACATAGATTAAAGGCCTTCGCGAAGCTGTCCGACGTTTGTCTTCTGAGGTATCTAAGCTACGTGGTGAAAAAATGTTTGTGAGTTTACTAAATTTTGTTTTTCTTCTAACGGATAAATGATAAACTATGTGTAGTACATTAATACTCCTCTCTGAAATATACACAGATGTCCTAAAAGTTGTGGATTCTGTAAAAATTACGAAGAAATCTCTGGTAGCCACCTACCTCACAATAACCGAAGCTCTTTATTCTTATCAAAATACTGTTGAGCTTATGATTTTCGGGTTGTTTTTCTCATTCTTTTACGTTCCCAGTGGAACATACAGTTACAAGCATGAGCTTTGAAGTTTCAGGAGCAGTAGCGTTGTTTTTACAAAACAGAGTGGCTAGCCGAACACCCAACCCTCCCACTTTATCGAGCTTACTACCGGCTAAATGAGGTTTATGAGTGCGTCGTCTGGGTATTGAAGGCGGACCACGTGCATGGTCGGCAAGCATTCTACCCCTCAGCGACTGTAGCACTTGATTTTCATGTAGTGGGAAATTTTCTGTAACTGAAATTTCACACATTTTGGACAAATGAATTCATCGACCCTGTTGTATTTCTGTTCCCAAATGTAATAAACATATTTTATAAGTTCAGCTGTCACCGGGTTCTAACCCCGGTGAGTGCGTGCTTCTGGAGAGGCCCAAACCAGGACAAAACAGCTGTCCAGTACTCCCTGCAGATTTTCCAATGGTTCTCTAACTGATTTCACCTCATGATGAAATCCTCCATCCAAATTTATATTTGTTAGATATTTAGTGTTCAATGTGTTTAGCTGAATGAGCGTATCTGTAATTACCTGTTAGAGATTCCACTGAAATAGATTGTTCGACTATGTTGAACCTACAAGCAACGTTGATTTTTCTGACTGATTGAGTTTTAACATAGACTTTTGCAGAAATGTGCAGTACTTCAAGTTGCCACAATCCATGCACAGTACACGAAAGTTGAGAAAATAGAGAAGAAAGAAATTCACAAGAGTTATAATGCACAGAAAAGAAAAAGAATGGCAACACGGAAAGGTATGAGCGTTTAATAGATATGGGAGATCATAAGGAGTGAATGCATTTGCATTACTGAGAACGATTTTGAACAACATCACCATTATTCTCCATCCAACCAGATAGTCTGCACGTCTGTGGGTGGTCGGCTCAAACCAGCTGTCAATGACTTCATGGACATTCACTGCTAATCATGAGTAAATAGATGAAGTTTAGAAACGTTTTGTGTTTGATACCATAGAGGTCAGTATCATATTCCGATAAGGGTCACTTCCATTTGTTAGAGCTTAGTTGCATCCAACTAACGAGTCATCAGTGCGGCAGAGCATTCATAGTTTCCATTACCAATCACCAGCCTTAAAATGGATAAATTATCTTAGTATAAGCGAACTTGACAAACTAAACGTATTCTTATTTGTTGTATCTAAAGAATTTAAGGATTTTTCATTTAAATTATAATAAAATATTTACTGTTATTCCAATCTAGATTTCTGCATACCCCAAGGAATGACATTTCCCTCCGCTAGTGCTTTCTGTGCTAATCCTTTATACATTCGAGTCTCTGAGTTCTTTTATTTGAAAGAACTGTTTTCCCATATTTTCTTCATATTCTATTAGGTTAGGTGTTGTGCATGAGCAGGGGGTTTACTTTTAACCTTTTCTTATAGTGTTTGAAACCTTTCCATTCACTAACCTAACTGCTAATTAACACCCTTAACTTTAGACGGAAAATAACTTAATAACTTTTCCACTTTTTCGATAAAGTAGTAGAATTCTTGTAGTTGGCACATCTGCATTTCATTGTGTTCGCAAATAGTCCCTTTCAGCTGACTCTACTATTGCCTCATAAGCTTTCGAATACTCTCTTCACACCATCTCCCCCATTTTACCAACAGACATCCAACTTGTCATTTCCCGATTGGGTTCCACTCAAGGATCTGGTGCGTGGTATCACCAAAAGATATCCATCCCCTCATCCTGCCGCATATTATCTAGGTATAAGTTTCTTAGTTGTTTTCGCTATCTTCTAGACTTCCTTGTTGCTTGTCATTTCTGCCTATCTGATCTTCAGTATCGAGCTGCTGATAAATTTCTGAAGTAGCCTGTTGAAAGTGCTATTCATGACACTCGGGCCAACTTTCTAAACCACATATAAGCACTGAGCAATCTGACATATTCTGAAAATTCCGATTTTTTTTCCTCTTGCTTAGTGCAGTGGATTTCAAAGCAATGAAGACGTCCTGCTTTTCCGATCTTGGCTCCTTTTGACATCCTCATCTGTGCCGCTTATATAGGTGAAAAAGGTGACCTCCTTTGCATTCCTCCAATTTGTGTTGTTGTCTATTCTATATCCATTTGACATCTTGCATTTGTTGCCTCTCCTGTCAACTTGTTGCTTTTACTTCTTCACCTTCGAGTCTGTGCGACATTGAACACAAATCGTAAACTTGGTCCAGACATTCTAGAGTTTTATTGTTGATCCAGTGTATGCCTGTCTTCTCGCTTCCCACGGATAACGGCAGCAGTTACAGTTTACTGTCAGCTTTTCATTATCATTGGTAATAAAGGCCTCAAAATAAGTAATTTTAGCTACCTTTGAATGATAGAGTGGGTAGTATTCATTTTTAACTGACGAAGAATATTTTTCCTGTCGGAGTTTGAACCAACTACCTTCAGATTATACAAGTGTTGGTTTGTAGGTATTTGATTGGTTACAGGATTTTCATCATGAGCTGACATTGGTTAGAAAACCATTGGAAAACCTGGGAGTACTGGACAGCTATTTCGTCCTAGTTCAGGGTTCTTCCACAGTACGCACCCAAACTGCGGGGTTCGAACCTAATACCTTCTGTTTACAAGGCCACCTCGTCGACGATCAAGCCACTGGGACCCGATCATGGGTCATTGGATTGGGTCCCAGTGGTTTAATGGTATACGAGCCAGCTTGCCTTGTAACCGGGAGGTCCTGGGTTCGAACCCCAGTGGGTGTGTACTGCTGAAGAGTCCCAAACTAGGACGAAACAGCTGTCCAGTACTCCCAGGTCCTCCAATGGTTCTCTAACTAATGTCAGCTCATGATGAAAATCCTGTAACCTTCAGATTACTTACGCGTTCATTGCCTCTTAAATCGATCTGCGACAAGTTACTGACTCCATAAATATATGGTCATCGTTTTTTAACTATGGAGGTGAGATATTCCAAATGATAGTAATTTTGTAACCAGTTAATTTAGCGGTCCCCTTTTTCTCACGTGTTTTTTAAACCAGAATCAAATGAAAAGTCTTG